ACACTAATGTCATCATTGTACAATTGAACTGTGATGTCAACATATAGGTCTATTGGGGGTGTATTTTACACCCTTTTTCAATCTTGTCTCATCGCTGCAACTCCCCAACAGGCTCGGGAGGCAAAGGTCGAGACATGCGTCCTCCGAAACATGACCCGCCAAACCGCGCTTCTTAACACCCGCCTGCTTAACACGGAAGCCAGCCACACCAATGTGTCGGATGAAACACTGTTCACTTGACGACCGAGGTCAGCCTGCAGGCGCCTGGCCTGCCACAAGGAGTCGCTAGAACGCATTGAGCCAAGTAAAGCCCCCCCCCCACTCCCACCAAAACAGGCTGACATATCAGGCAGTCTTTTCAAACAGCCCTTACACTAAACGGGCACTATCCTCATTTTCACAGTTTCATAGTATTATTCTAGTTACTTAATAAATCCCAACAAAAACAGAATAAACCGTTTTCTGTAAACTAAATACTTACTTTCAATGATAGCCGTAATGGCATCAAGTCTATTGTCAATAAACTCTGGCATATATTATCATCAGAATCCAGAATCCACCTTTATTCACCTATAAATGTTTAAGAAATCTATCAAACATATTGGTTAAATCAGATGTGGTCGGGGACGCTATTCCTAATGAAGTGAAAATAATTTTAAAAATCGAATAATGAAAGTAGGCCTAAGCTTTCTTCATCTTTTTGTTTGACTGAATTTGCAGGTTTTACACGGCAGCCAAGCTTCTGGGAGAGTGTGATGGTCCCTTTATGATTCATATTATTCCAACCTCAGGGTGGAAATATATATAAAACACAGGAAATTATGTTTTGGTCTATAAGTTGTTAGCGGCCTGGCCTCTTACTTTCTGTGTGATACTTTTAGCTACATTTTAAAATACAATTGATAATATGTATTAACTTGTGCGGGGGTTTAATAAATCATGTCTAGGATTGGAAAAGTATGAGTAAAAAAAATAACCATAGAGGACCGGTTCTCTATTTGGACCACATCAATGATAAGATTTTAAGGTTTTCCCCTACTAGTGATGTTTGGTATGTGGCGTCGACTTTGAATCACTAAAAATGTGTGACTATTTTACATGAAAACTCAATAGCACTATTATGTTATTTTGTCTTGCCATTAATGAAGTATATTATGATTATAAGTACTATCGGGGGGATTAAATGAATGGGAATCAGTTTAGAGAGACATTTGGAGATGTTCTCACCACCCATACTTCTCACTCCCCCTTTCACCTGACATCTTCCTCTCTCCCCTCACGAGCCTTCAACACACAGATCGGTCTTGTACAACATACACGTCTTCAGACTGGAAGAAATTTAACAAAACACCCTCGAGCTAGAGGAACTCACATTGCCAGCATAATAAAAGGGGGTAAAACAAAAGTACAGTCATTTTACCTAACTTGTTATATTGTGAATGTAATTTACCAACCCCAGATATTAGGCCTGTGTTAAGGTTCACCCACCCATTACTACTACCTCCCTGAATATCAGCAGCATAATTCCACAGGCCTCTAAAACGTATTCGAGTTTTTCTTGGAATAAAAACACACAATTTAATTAATTGTATTTGTATAGTAGATTTACTTAAAAGTATCACAGAGAAATAGTCAAATAATCTCCCTCAAGACAAGCACGGTCAACCGATTTATGCATTCACAGAAGCGCCAACTTGTATAAAGAGTGCAAAACACATGTGAAACATTAAATACATCTGGGGATATTCATTGAAAAATATCCATGACACAAAACAAGAGTCATTTGTTCATTAGTTTGGAGTTGGACACGGTATTGTGCCCTCGCCTGTGCCTTGAGTGGGATATGTGCCTTTTATGCATTAATCAGTTTCTTATTTTCTCCTCTATTGCTGTGATCCACAGTCAGCGCATAGCTTCGGACCTTTGTGGGTGCAAGACCCACAAACAAATCGGTGGCATTGTGCACAGCTTTCATGGGCCTGGTTCCGTGCACACTGCGTCTTCACCTGGCACTGTGTTCTCTTCCCAGCTGGGAGCTGGATGGGTGCCCGGGAAGGAGGCGGTGCGACCTTGGCTGCTTCCTTGGCAGCTGCAGCTGCCTTCGTCTTGGCCCTCATGTGGTTCTCACGAAGCTCCCATGCCAGATCCATGATGAAATCTCTCCTTGGCGTTGTCTTGCCGGTACACTGGGTGAACAAAACGTGCGCGTTGATAGCAGCCAGGTCGAGCAGGTTGTAGAATACGGCAACAGGCCAGCGGCGAGTACCCCCTTTCACCGTGAACTGTCTGGCCATCTTATCCACACCAACCTGGAATAGAGTATTAAACGTTAGCAAAGTAATAGGAAAGAAATACACATTTGTTGCAGAAGAGCACAGTGCATGAAATATGGCAAAGTGCGCTTAAATGTGTAGCCTAAATGTATAGGCCTAATAGCCTACATTTTTGCTGTTATAGTGCATCATGGTATCTGGTTTTCTCCTTGTGTCACCGCCAATGGCAACTGTCAGATGCATAGTGCTCAGGATACAGACGTTTTTTCTAGGCTTCTTTCTGTAAACCGTAAGTGTTGCTTTGTCGTGCTTCAGTACTGTTGTGGAGAACAGCTCTGCTTGTGACTGGTCGCATGCAGATGGGGGCAGCTCCCGTCTCATCTTATTCACCACCCCAACCAGGCTTGTGTTCTTGTCAATCAACTTGTTTGCCAATGGCAGTGATGTGAAGACCTCGTCCGTGTTTACATTTCTACCCTTGCCAAGGTAAGGTTCTACAAGCCTCATCACCACATTTTCAGGCTGCTGAGATTCATCTTTCCCCAGATATGGAAAGACATTCAGCACATACTTGCTGTCGACATCAGCTGCCAACCGAAACTTCATGCCCCACTTGTCTTGCTTGTAGGGGATGTACTGCGTAAAGCGACATTTCGTTTTCGTGGGGAACCATTGCTCCTCAACGGTGATGTTCACTCCTGGCTTGTAAGACGTAACACAGTTATGTACAAACGCGTTCCAAACTTCTGATACTAATGCGAATTTGTCAGTTTCCAGGCGCATGCGTCTGGTCTCTCTTGCGTCAAAACGCAGGTATCGCATGATTTCTCTGAAGCGGTTCCGTGGCATGGTGTCTCGGAAGAAAGTGATCCCATACCTGTCTGACCAGAGGCTCTCCAAAGGCGTGTTCTTTCCTCCGTACAGTCCACGGACATACAGGAGCGCAATGAACGCTTCCAGCTCATCCACAGATATGTCCCACGTATTGTCTCCTTTTGCTCTGTGCGCCTCAGCTACAGTACAGTCCCTGATTTGCTGCAACATCTCCATGTCACATAAACAATGAAAGCTGTCGAATGCTCTGTCGATTCTGTCTTTTGCGTAAGGTGTAGGGCCCGACTCCACTTGGATTCCATTCTGTGCTGATAATCGACTCGGAGCATTGTCAGCAGGCTCTTTTATCCAAACCGTGCCGTCCTTCCCTGTCTCCTCTCTCTCCATCTCAGTTAGTGACGCCAGCACAGTGGGCATTGTTCGGCCTCTCTTGCGCCGAGGCAGATCAGGCTCATAGTCAGAATCGCAGTCAGAATCAGAATGTAATGAAGAATTCCCCCATTCATCATCAGAGTCGATCTCAGCATCAAGTTCCTCCCCTCCACCTGACTCCATCTCATCCAAATTTCGTAGCATTACCAGCGCTTCTCGCACCGCCATTCTCGGTCTTGCTATTGTATGAATGACATCCGCTTCCAGGTCACCCCTCTTTCGCGTCTCCATCTTCTTCTATGATATTCATATGATAATGGCGATCCGCAAACAAACGTTAAAAGGTGCATGCCGCCACCTACTGTGCAGGAGTGTGTGGTCAATCATGGTTTACAACATTAGCTCTAAATGTCTAAATCCTCCTACCTAACTCAGTATTTCTGAGAAAATAGAAAAAGAGTCCTACTAACTTATAACTTATGTGGTCCTCTGTAGCTCAATTGGTAGAGCATGGCGCTTGTAACGCCAGGGTAGTGGGTTCGATCCCCGGGACCACCCATACGTAAAAATGTATGCGCACATGACTATAAGTCGCTTTGGATAAAAGCGTCTGCTAAATGGCATATTATTATATTATTTTATAATAGTACAGTTTATTAATACTGTTTTAATACATTTAATGAATGTTTTAATACTTATTTATCAGCAACATATGTACAATATTTAAATAAACCGTTTATTGATGCAATGTTTTAACGAGTTTAAACACACAAAACGCCAAAAAGACGGTTCCCTGGGGGGGGGGGGGGGGGGGGGTGAAAACGTCTTCAAATGGCTCATTCATTCAGTCCCACTTCCTCGGTTAAACAAGAAAACGCAATAAGGTAATTATGTAAAACATAGCATCCCCATTCTCTTCAGTAAAGGCTACATCGTATACTGTAACATCTTGACATTGATGTGTAAAAAATACTGCATGGACTTGGAGGTTACTGAGAATGATTGAGGCTAGAGGTACTGAGTAACATCGTTCAGTACACAGACACTGGTTACATCCTAAATGGCATCCTACTTTATACAATTCTATATAATTAACTTTTCAGGTTTAGGCACTTCTTTAATAAATCTGTACAACAATTAATTCAGTAATCTGAAAGCAAATCCCAGTCTGCGTCCGAGATAGCATCATATTCCCTTTACAATGAACCACTTTTCACCAGGGCAATTACGGAATTTGAGGATCAAGCTGAGATGCCAAGAAGAACCCCATCAAGCGAGTCAAGACCTCTCTCAATCGTTGATTCTAGAACAAAGAATAGTGTTACCACCATAGACATATAATACTACAAAATTATGTTCTCATTTCATCCCTATTCTAGCAGAATCTTCCACTGACTAAAAACACCTGTGGGCCACACAATCCAATGATGGAAGGTTGACACACACAAGGATTTACAGCCACAAAAGTCATTATAAATCAATGACTAACATCATTGTAAGCTTTGATGGCACCAGTACTTACTCTAGAGTCTGTAGTTTGTAGCGTGGGTCGTCCCTGATGGCAGAGAGAATTCTCAGTCCATCTTCTCCTGTGTCGTTTCCCATCAGGCCTAGCTCTGTGATGCTGGAGTGGCTGGACTTCAGGGCTAAGGCTAGGGAGGAGCAGCCCTCTGCTGTGATCCCACAGCATCTCAGACTGGAAAGAGAGGGAGGGGGGGGGGGTGGAAAGAGAGAAAGGGCGAATGTGGGGGAGAGAGATGGGGATAGAGAGAAAGAGTGGAGAAGGTCACCAGAGAGGGAGAAAATATCTTCAATTTGTTTCGTTCAACAAGACTTTAAAAATGCTTTATAAATTGTACGAGTGATTTATAAGTTAACAAATGACCAAGTCATTTTGTGAATATGCTTATAATAATTCATTGTGTGAAGAGCCTGTGATGCAATATCATAGACCAAGCCATGTGCTTTATAACTCTCTAATGATGTTACTTACAACAGTCTCTCCAGTGTACAGCACCTGGAGGTCAGTTCCAAGTAGAGTGTCTTCACACCGCTGTCTCCCATGTCGTTTCCAGAGAGATCCAGCTCTTTCAGTTTGGTGAGGTTGGAGCCGAGAGCTTTAACCAGGTCCCCACAGCATTTCTCTGTCAGTTTACAGTCACTCAGCCTAGGTGTGGAGAGGTAATTACATTGAGAGAAAGTTGCCCCCCCACGCACACACACACACACTAAGTCTAACCGTTGCAGAACTCACCTGAGGGTCTCAAGTGAAAACAAGCAGAATAAGACATCGGCCCAGTCAACCGAGTCACCCAGATGGTTCCTGCTGATGTCCAGCTCTTTGAGGATAGAGTTGAAATGAAACCCTCTGGCTAGGGTGATGCCAGAGCTCGCCACACTGGCGAGACAAGACAGAGGTAAAGAAAAAGCAACACTCTTCAATCTTCAGCTCCAGACCTAGGTTCAAATACTATTTTTCAGAGACTTTAAACGTTCGCTTTAGACTGCCTGGAGAGCCAGAAGCCGGACAGGGTTTGCACTTTTGCGACTATTCAATTGGTTCCATTGTGCCAGGCAAGCTCAAGTTTGACAAGTATTTGAAATAATTTCAAATAGTATTTGAACCAACCAAAGTATGTCAGCTTACATGGAGTAGGGGCTAGGGGAGATAGGTCCTTACACTCTCAGTGGGGTAAGCTAGCTTACTTGAGTTTCTCCAGTTGACAGGCGGGCAGTCCGAAGGCGTTGCAGAGCATCTTGACCCCCTCGTCCTTCAGGTTGTTGTTGCTCAGGTTGATCTCCTTCAGACTGGGGATGTTCACCAGACACCCAAACATGTTCTCACAGCATTTCTCAGTGAGCTGACAACAGTACAACCTGGTGGTGGAGAAAACATGTATTCCACTTTAGAATCAGTGAGGTGGAATGTGTATGTGTGTGCTCTCTCAATACCCATTTAGTTAAAGCACTATGTATTAGTCCCAGCGGTACTCACTCCAGTTTGTATATCTGGGTTGACTTCAGTATGTCCATGAGCAGCTCCACCCCCCCGTCTCCCAGGTTGTTCATGCTGATGTCCAGCTCTCTCAGGTGTCTGGGGTTGTCTATCAGCAACACTGCTAGAGCGCGACTCAGCGCATGGTCCAGCTTGCAGTTTGAGAGCCTAACGAAGATTAAAATACTTGACGTGGCCTATGTGGTCCAGAGGTTAGTGCCACGGACCCCAGCACAGATGTACAGCCTAGGCTACCAGAGTCGGCATGAGTTCAAATCCGACCCATGCCATTCTGACTCGCAAACTCTCCTAACTCTCCTCTTCACTGTCCTAGCTCAATAAAACTACATTATACCCTTAAAATAATGTAAAATAGTTTAGAAGACAACTGTATGTCCTTTATGAGGAGAACTTCATTTGCATCAAACCACAGGATAAACCTGTAGGGGAACAATTAAATGATGTTACAAGTGGGGGAACACATGATCAGAACGGGCCATTGATTCAATACTCACTTCAGGATCTGCAGTTCGCACTTAACAACCTTTAGTCCATCAACGAGAAGAAACATCCCAGATTCTCCCGGGTCGTTGCCGCTCAGATCCAGCTCTCGCAGGTGCGAGGGGTTGGATTTGAGAGCTTTGGCCAGAGCGGCAAAGCCATCCTGTTTCACCCTGCAGCCGGACAGTTTCAATATCTCCAGTCGGCAGTGTGGCTTGGCCAGGCCGGCCGCCAGTAGCTGCACTCCTGAGTCCTTCAGCGTGTTGAAACTCAGGTCCAGATCTTTCAGATTGGACACCTTTGAGGTGAGCGCCGAAGCCAGACATTCACAGGATTTCTCAGTCAGGTTGTGATATGACAGCCTGGTGGGGAGGGTTTATGGAATCAAAAAGAACATTAGAATTCATACTATTAGCCACTTGAACCACCAAAATTGTAAGACGAGCCCAACAAACTTGAATTACATCATTTTGATGACAATTATCTTGTGCGTTATGGACATTTCATATCGATATACATTGCCCTCCACTAATATTGGCAAGCTTGGTAAATATGAGCAAAACGGGCTGTGAAAAAATGTTATTTGCTGTTTATCCTCTTGGTCTTTCATTCAAAATATTCACAAAAATCGAACCTTTAATTGAATTAAAATTATTGAAAAAAATAGGAAGGCGAGTTAGGGAATCAAAAAGAACATAGCCATAATTTCAGACACTAAACTAACAGAACTGTGTAATGATCATAAGACGTGTCCAACAAACCTGAATTACATCACTGTGATGACAATTATCTTGTGTGTTGCAGATATTTCATATTGATATATACAGTGAGTGCCAAAAGTATTGAGACAGTGACACATCTGTTTGTTTTGGCACTGGCACATTTGTTTGTTTGTATCAGAACCAGAGCCAAAACAATGACTATGCAGACTGTCGGCTTTACTTTTAGGGTATTTTCATCCATATCGGGTGAATCGTTTAGAAATTACAGCACTTTTTGTACATAGTCCCCCCATTTTAGGGGACCAAAAGTAAAAAGTTAAGCATTTGGTCCCATATTCATAGCACGCCATGACTACATCAAGCTTGTGACTCTACAAATTGAAATGAATGGTAAATAATGCTGTGTGTCATTTTGGATGCATGTTTATTTTTTATAGGGGGTTGATCAGCTTTAATATTGCAGATAGATTGTAACTTCCATCAATGTAATTGTCTGCATCACTTCCAATCCCCCATATGTTTTTTTCCCCCCTCGCAAATAAATAAATAAATATATATATATATATATACATACACACACACACACACACACACACACACACACACACACACACACACACACACACACAGTGAGGAAAAAAAGTATTTGATCCCCTGCTGATTTTGTACGTTTGCCCACTGACAAAGACATGATCAGTCTATAATTTTAATGGTAGGTTTATTTGAACAGTGAGAGACAGAATAACAACAACAAAATCCAGAAAAACGCATGTCAAAAATGTTATAAATTGATTTGCATTTTAATGAGGGAAATAAGTATTTGACCCCTCTGCAAAACATGACTTAGTACTTGGTGGCAAAACCCTTGTTGGCAATCACAGAGGTCAGACGTTTCTTGTATTTGGCCACCAGGTTTGCACACATCTCAGGAGGGATTTTGTTCCTCTCCTCTTTGCAGATCTTCTCCAAGTCATTAAGGTTTCGAGGCTGACATTTGGCAACTCAAACCTTCAGCTCCCTCCACAGATTTTCTATGGGATTAAGTTCTGGCTAGGCCACTCCAGGACCTTATGTGCTTCTTCTTGAGCCACTCCTTTGTTACCTTGGCCGTGTGTTTTGGGTCATTGTCATGCTGGAATACCCATCCACGACCCATTTTCAATGCCCTGGCTGAGGGAAGGAGGTTCTCACCCAAGATTTGACGGTACATGGCCCCGTCCATCGTCCCTTTGATGGGATGAAGTTGTCCTGTCCCCTTAGCAGAAAAACACCCCCAAAGCATAATGTTTCCACCTCCATGTTTGACGGTGGGGATGGTGTTCTTGGGGTCATAGGCAGCATTCCTCCTCCTCCAAACACGGCGAGTTGAGTTGATGCCAAAGAGCTCCATTTTGGTCTCATCTGACCACAACACTTTCACCCAGTTCTCCTCTGAATCATTCAGATGTTCATTGGCAAACTTCAGACGGCCCTGTATATGTGCTTTCTTGTTCAGGGGGACCTTGCGGGTGCTGCAGGACTTCAGTCCTTCACGGCGTAGTGTGTTACCAATTGTTTTCTTGGTGACTATGGTCCCAGCTGTCTTGAGATCATTGACAAGATCCTCCCGTGTAGTTCTGGGCTGATTCCTCACCATTCTCATGATCATTGCAACTCCACGAGCTGAGATCTTGCATGGAGCCCCAGGCCAAGGGAGATTGACAGTTCTTTTGTGTTTCTTCCATTTGCGAATAATCACACCAACTGTTGTCACCTTCTCACCAAGCTGCTTGGCGATGGTCTTGTAGCACTTTCCAACCTTGTGTAGGTCTACAATCTTGTCCCTGACATCCTTGGAGAGCTCTTTGGTCTTGGCCATGGTGGAGAGTTTGGAATCTGATTGATTGATTACTTCTGTGGACAGGTGTCTTTTATTCAGGTAACAAACTGAGATTAGGAGCACTCCCTTTAAGAGTGTGCTCCTAATCTCAGCTCGTTACTTGTATAAAAGACACCTGGGAGCCAGAAATCTTTCTGATTGAGAGGGGGTCAAATACTTATTTCCCTCATTAATATGCAAATCAATGTATAACATTTTTGGCACACGTTTTTCTGGATTTATTTGTTGTTATTCTGTCTCTCACTGTTCAAATAAACCTACCATTAAAATTATAAACGGATCATTTCTTTTTCAGTGGGCAAACGTACAAAATCAGCAGGGGATCAAATACTTTTCTCCCTCACTGTATATCCTTAAAAAATATATATATTCCCCTTTATTACTTTCCAACCCCACCACCCCTTCCCTAATTAGAGTAAACTAGTGAACAACAATGCTTAGGCCTCTACTTCCAGCTTATACATACTATATACATTTTATGGACACCGTCAATTGTACAATAATTATATTTTGTTTGTTTTTACTCATGAACTTCGTCTACCCTCAACTTCTCCGATCATTTTCATGATGTCCATCTGGTTTATGCCATATCTTTCAAACTCTGCTCTTTCACAAAAGCTCTCAACCTATAACCTCTATACTTAATATGGACACAGTATGCTTTACATTAGTTATCTTGTTGTTATTAGTTGTTGTTAGTTGTTATTAGTCCCATCCTTCAACTCCATTCAACAAGACCCATCTATCACTTAACACCATCCATATTGGATTTCTATTTGCCATATATTTTTCAACTGTACTGTGATGTTTTACAAAAGTTCTGATTTTTTTCTACAGATTGTAAATGGAAAATAAACATTTTTGCTAAAAGTATTATTATATTATTGATTGATTGACTATGACTTTTCAGATCACCCAGTAGTGCTATCTGCAGGGTTAGCTCCAGGTAAATATTGCAATTCTTTAGCCATTCCAAAATCAAGCTACAAATGGACAGTACCAAAACAAATGATCTAATGATTCTGTCTCTTCGCAGCAAAATCTGCAGAGCTGGGAAGATTGTATCCCCAATATAAATAATATTCTATTGGTAGCAAGAACTTTATATAATAATTTAAATTGAAAAAAATCAAAGTTTTGAATCAGGCGTTGTTTTGTGCATCAGTTCCTAAACACTATGCCATGGAATCGGTACGTCAAAAATCTCTTCCCAACTATTTTGCAATCTATATGGGACTGCTGTCAATCCTTTGGTCCTTAAATGAAACTGGTATACTTTTTATTTATCACAATTTTCTTTAACCAATTATGTTCTTTAATGCAGGGCCAACACACAAGTTCCTTACTTTTTCCTCCTTCCACTTTCCTCTTCCATTTTTGCGGTAATGCTGCAATTATTTGGTTGTAATTTTGGGTAGAGCAGACATTTCCATATGTTTTTGTTAGCTGCATGTGCGACATAACTCTACCACTCCTACCTATGATATCATTTACGAAGATTATACCTTTTTTTATGGTTTTTTATCAATTAGTATATTTGAGTTTAACCACAATATTTGTTGCATTATATGTTCTGTCATTTCTGGAGGATTACATTGAAATTGCAACCAACCTTCTATGGCTTGTTTTAGAAATAGTGATATTTGGGAGATGATTTCCTTAACAAATAACTGAAAGTGAGAGGTTGTAATCTGAATAAAGGGAAAAAGGCCATTCTTGAACATTGGTTGAGACAATCTTACTAATTTTCTAGAGAACCATTTCGGATTTAAGTATAACTTTTGTATGACTGAAGCTTTTAGTGATAGGTCTAATGCTTTAACATTTAATCATTTCTGTCCTCCGAATTCATATTCATTATATAAATAGGCCCGTTTAATTTGATCTGTCTTGCCGTTCCAAATAAAATGGAATCTTTTTTTCTCATATCATTTTAAAAACTGTTCGCTAGGCGTAGGCAAGACCATAAGCAAATAGGTAAACTGGGATAATAGTAAAGAGTTAATCAGGGGGATTTTTCCAAAAATTGACAGGTATTTACCTTTCCATGGTAGCAAGATCTTATCTATTTTTGCTAACTTTTTATTAAAATGTATTGGAGTGAGATCTTTTATTTCATTTGGGATATGTATTCCGAGTATATCCACATCACCATCAGACCATTTTATTGGTAAACTATGTGGTAATGTAAAAATTGTGTTTTTTAGTGATCCAATACGTAATATAGTAAATTTATCATAGTTTGGTTGTAATCAAGAAAGGTTAGAAAATGTATCTAGATCCTCTGAGACTGTGGAGTGATTCAAGTTGCGGATTTAAAAGAAAACATGAATCATCAGCGTACAATGACACCTTTGTTTTTAAACCCTGGATTTCTAATCCCTTGATATTATTGTTGGATCTGATTTTAATAGCCATAATAAATAGATATGCCAATAGTGGACAACTTTGTTTCACTCCTCTTGACAGTTTTAAACTTTCTGAGAAATAGCCATTATTTACTATTTTACACCTAGGGTTACTATATATGGTTTTAACCCATTTTATAAGAGATTCTCCAAATTTGAAATACTCCAGGCATTTACATATAAACTCCAGTCGTACTTTATCAAATGCCTTTTTAAAGTCTGCTATGAATAGCAGGCCTGGTTTCCCAGATTTTTCATAGAGTTCTATTGTTTCCAGTACATGCCTTCTATTATCTCCAATGTATCGTCCATGTAAAAAACCTGTTTGATTAGAATGAATAATGTCTGACAATACCTTTTTAATTCTATGCGCTATACATTTTGCATCACAACACTGAAGTGTAAGGGGCCTCCAATTTTTTTAATGGACTGGATCCATATTTTCCACTTGTATCCTGTTTCAGTAATAATGAAATCAGACCTTCTTGAGTGTCTGATAATCTACCATTTACACAGGAGTGGTTAAAACATGCTAATAACGGTCCTCTGAGTATATCAAAAAAGGTTTGGTATGACTCGACTGGTATGCCATCCAACCCTGGACTTAAAGTCTTTAATTGCATCCAGAAGTTCCTCCTCTGTAATTTCACCTTCACAATAGTCTTTCTGTATGGCTGTTAATTTTACATTATCAATAGAAAAATAAATCTCTACAATTAGCTTCAGTTAGAGGAGATGGAGGCGACTGAAACAAAAACATATGCTTAAAGTACTTTGTTTCCTCCTTCAAAATATAATTTGGTGAAACAGTTTCAGTAAATTATTTTTGGTAGCATTTCTATGTTGAAGATTGTAAAATAATTTGGTGCATTTTTCCCCTTATTCCATCCAGTTTGCTTTATTTTTATAATATATTACACTTGCTCTTTCTTGAATAAGTTTCTCCATTTCTTTTTGTTTTTCCTCTAATTTATTCTGAGCCTCTATGTTACAGTTTTTATTGCTATCTATCTGTTCTGTTAGACCTTCTATATTCTTTGTTAGTATGGACTCTTGACCTAAATTGCTTTTGTTTTAGAGATGAGTACTGAATTGCATGGCCTCTAAAGGCACATTTAAAAGTGTCTCATACAATAAGGGGATTTGCGGTACCTATGTTATGTCGGAAAAAATCAGTTATAAATTCCTCTGTCCTAGTTAAAAACAAGTTATCATCCAATAGGCTTTGATTAAATTTCCAATATCCTCGCCAACATGGAAATTCAGTAAGTGTAATGTATATGCTAATTATATGATGGTCCGACCGCATTCTGTCCCCTATCAACACTTTTTAAACTTTTGGTGCCAACGAGAATGACATAAGAAAGAAGTCAAGACGACTAGCTTGATTGAGTCCGCCATGTATATCTCACTAGATCAGGATATTTATGCCTCCATATATCTACTAGTTCTAATGTATCCATGACATTCACGATTTCCTTAAGCGCATGAGGGTGATTGTTTGTAGTGTGATTTCCTTTACGGTCCATTGAGCTATTTAAAACGGTATTATAATCTCCCACCATAATAATAGAGTCTTGTATTGCTTGCAGGGTTGACAATTTATTATATACAGTGGGGAGAACAAGTATTTGATACACTGCCGATTTTGCAGGTTTTCCTACTTACAAAGCATGTAGAGGTCTGTAATTTTTATCATAGGTACACTTCAACTGTGAGAGACGGAATCTAAAACAAAAATCCAGAAAATCACATTGTATGATTTTTAAGTAAGGGGATACGAGCTCTGAGAGATCAGAAGCTCTCTCTTTCGCTGCAACCTCTCTGAGAGCGGATTTTCCGGGTCTCATTGAGAGAGCTGCTCAACGGCTGGTGATAAGGCTGCCCCCTCTTCCCTCCGCACCGGAGGTTGATATGATGGAGGGCGGTCCTTATTCCAGGCCAAGGAAGGTGGCAGAGCCAGTGGCTCCTGCCATGCCTTCTTTGGCTAGGTACGTTGAGGGCTCCTGGGAGGCACCTTTAGCAGCGCGTTCGCCAGTAAAAGCGTATCTCCCATTCACGAGAGTGGAAGGAAGGTTCCAGGGTCAGGGAATCCCCAGGTTAGAGAGCGCCATGGCGGCGTATCTCGTACCGGGTTCGAGCCCTTGGCCCTCTTCCAAGAAGGCCACGTTGCCATCCCAGAAGGACCGACTCACAGCGTCGCTGTTAGAGAAGTCCTTTGGGTTAGGAGCCCAAGCTGTAGCAGCAGCTAACAACATTGCCCTCTTGGCGGCCTCTCTGTCCCGTTTAACCACGGGCAAGACAGAGCTGGCACCGGAGGAGGTGGAGGAGGCGTCCAGAATTTCTGGCGCCATACTCCACCTGACACAGGCGTCCGCAGTCTGCGCGGGGAGGTCCATGGCCACTTCGGTGGTCGGGGAACGACACCTCTGGTTGTCCTTGACATCCATGAAAGAGGCAGACAGGACGTCTCTTTTGAACGCCCCCCTCTCTGACGACGGCCTCTTTGGGGTCGCAGTCAAAGAGGCGACGGAGCGTTTTTCCAAGCTGGAGGAGGAGAAGAAACAGCTGGCCAAGCACCTGCCATTGGCAGGACGACTCGGCCCCGCTCCATCCCAAAGGCCATCTACCTCCGCCCCTCCAAGTAGACCGGGGTCTACGGCGAGGCGGCGTAATCGGCGTCATCCGGCGGCCACGAGCAGCAAGGGAACGGGCCCCGCCCTTCCAGTAGCTACGGTAGCCCCACTACAGCCGGCGAGGGAGGTGACGAGGACGCCAACCTGGCCCCCCAAGGGAGGCAAGAGGAGGCGTACGTGACGGGACGCGGGGGAGTAGATGGAGGACGCATCGATGGTGTCGAACGTGCCCACTGTTCCCCCCCACCCTTCGATTGAAGGGATGGGTGTTGATGTAAATGCCTTTGTTGATATAAAGAGTTGGCTCCACCTGACTTTGTCAAAAAAGAGCCTATTTTCCATAATACGTCCGAGAGCGTTCAAATCTCACCCTCTCTTCCTTACCACTCTAAGAGCCGTTCAGCCCACCGAGGGTGCGTTGCTGAACAGGCACTTAGAGTAGGTATCCATAAGACCTCAAATCAGGTCGTCACGTCACACTTCACGTATAAGAAGTGCTTTACATAGCAGGCAGCAGTCCCTGTCAGATTCTGACATGAGGACGCAGCCGCTATTTGGGGATGGCGCACTAGCACAGACTAAGGTCTCCGCTAGTACGAGCCAGACCCATGCTGCGTTCACGGAGGGCCCGATTACCGCGGTCACCAAGGTGTCCAGAGTATCGGCGCCCCCAGGCATTGTAACACAGCAGCTATCTGGGGACGGCACATTATCGCAGACCAAGGTCTCGGTTAATGCGATTCAGACCCATGCTACGTTCACGGAGGGCCGGATTACTAGGGTTATGGGTATAACCAAAGTATTAGCTCCCCTGACAGAACGAGCTAGTACTCACCACACTGAGTGTGAATCAACCCACCAGGGGTGCAGAGTTGAACACACACAGAAGGTGAAAGTTAAGAAGGTATCAAGGCGCCGCCTTGTTTTACCTCATAGAGACCTCATACTACAGACTTCTAGGAGTACTGTAGTGAAGGGCTCTGATAGTGAATTGCAGTCACCTAAGATGACGCAATCGCTTGCTGGGGATGGTGCCCTGCCGCAGGCTGTGACCTCGGTCAGCGCAATTCAGACCCGCGATGCGTTCAAGGAGGGCAGGAATACGACGGTTACGAGTTTAACCGACGTCCCTGCTCCTCTTTCTCTCTCAGAACGCATTGATGGTTCCTCTCCCTTTCACGGGAGGCCCACCTTGGGCTGTTCCACCACTTCAATGTTGGGGAACAGTGGCGGTAAGGGCCATAGAGGAATACAGGTCCTTCCTACTGGATGCACCACAGCTTCGTGCTCAGCCGCTTTCTCTGCATTGCTGGCAGTGGCGAAGAAGCTGCACCCTCTCACGCTGGCTAGAACAGACGTTGCAGAAGGGTTATGCTCTCCAATTCCACCGGACACCACCCCCGTTCAGGGGAGTGGTGGAGACGGTGATGAAAACGCCAGACAAAGTGGCCGCTCTGATGACAGAGATTACGGAACTTTTGGCGAAGGAAGCGGTGACAGTAGTTCCCCGGGAGCAAAGGAACAAAGGGCTATATTCGCCTTAATTCCTAGTGCCCAAAAAGACGGGGGGAGTGAGGCCGATTTTGGACTTACGCATTCTCAACGAGAGCATAACCAAGCGGCCCTTCCAAATGCTAACGACAAAACGTCTGCTGGAATGTGTCCAGAGAGGGGACTTTTGTACGAGCATAGACCTAAAGGACGCGTACTTTCATGTGCCGGTTCAGCCGCGTCACAGGAAGTTTCTGCGGTTCGCCTTTCAAGGGGTGGCGTACGAATACACGAGGATGCCATTTGGGTACGCCCTGGCACCTCGCACATTTTCCAAGTGTGTGGAGGCGGCATTGGAACCGTTGCGTCGTCAGGGAATACGGCTACTAGCCTACCTGGACGATCTACTGGTTCTCGCCCCGTCAGCAGAGCTGGCGATCACTCACACAACACAGACAGTGATGCATCTCACAAGTCTGGGGTTTGCTGTGAATTGGAAAAAGGGCGCGCCCTGGCCCACTCATCAGATTGTCTACCTGGGGATACAGCTAGACACTGTGAGGATGAGGGCTCGAATTTCGGACCCCCGAAGGGTAGCCTTGTTGCTAGCCCTGAGGAAGTGTCGTCCGAATCACACGGTGACGGCGCTGTCGATCATGTCACTTTTGGGTCTCATGTCGTCAGCCCACTCTGTGGTTCCGCTGGGACTCCTGCATATGCGCAGGATGCAGCGATGGTTCGCCCAACTAAGACTAGACCCATTGCGTCAACGTCATCGGTTGGTGGTGGTTCCCCTCTCGCTCAGTGCAGATCTGAACTATTGGAGAAACGCGCGTTCTCACGCACGGAGTCCCGATAGGAAAGGTGTCCTCTCACATCCCAGTATTCACGGATGCGTCCCTGACGGGATGGGGAGGGACATGTCAGACCCAAGCAATAGGAGGTGTGTGGCCTCAATCAGGTCGTCATATCAACCTCTTGGAGTTGGAAACGGTTCGACTGGTTCTGACCCACTTCGCGTCTACCCTTCGGGGTCGCGATGTGCTGGTCTGGTCAGACAACCGGACCACAGTAGCTCACATAAATCGCCAGGGAGGAGTCAGGTCTCCTGCTCTCCATCGGGCGGCAGAGGGATTGTGGCTGTGGGCTCACGAGCACCTTCGCTCATTGAGAGCAGCACACATTCCGGGCTACTTGAACGTAGGAGCAGACCTCATGTCAAGAGGGGGTCCTCGAGACGACGAGTGGTGTCTGCATCCGGACATTGTTCTCCAGATTTGGGAACAATTCGGGAGAGCCGAGGTGGACCTATTCGCGTCACGCGTGAACGCGCAATGTCCTCTGTGGTTCTCTCTGAGGGAAGAGGACGAACCGCCACTGGGAAGGGACGCCTTTGCGCACCAACCGTGGCCGAGAGTTCTCCTGTATGCATTCCCTCCGCTGTCCTGCATTCTCCCACTGCTAGCCAGGGTGAGGTCAGGGGAGCTGTCAGTGATACTGATAGCGCCCGATCACCCGGGGGCTCCTTGGTTTGCGGAGATGAGTCAGATGTTGATTGCGCCACCTTGGCCAATTCCACATCGACGGGACGCGTTGTCACAGGCGGCTGGCACGATATGGAAATTGCCCATAATCGGCCAAGAACTGAAGGCCTGGCTGCTGAGAGGGACAGGCTAGAGCGCCGTGGGTTATCTGATGCAGTGATCAGGACCATACAGGGTTCACGTGCCAGTTCCACTTCTAAGATGTATGCCAGGAGATGGAACGTGTTTTCACGATGGTGTGTCACACAAGGTGTAGACCCCATGAGCTGTCAGGTGGAGATTATTCTCTCTTTTCTACAGCTCATGTTTGATAAGCAAAAATCGCCTGCCACTATTAGGGTGTTTGCAGCAGCGATTTCAGCTTGTCATGAGGGGTTTGGCAGAGACAATGTCTTTAGCCACCCTCTAGTGAAACGCTTCCTATTAGGAACGCGGCGACTTAGGCCAACACCTAGAGTCACGCTTCCTTAGTGGGATTTGGCTTTGGTACTCGCTATGTAAGTCGCCGTTCGAGCCATTGAATCAAATACCCCTCAAGATGCTGTCTATGAAGACAGCACTGTTGCTCGCTTTGACTACAGCTAAGCGGGTCAGTGATTTGTGTGCTCTTTCGACGAGACCTGACTGCCTGGCCATCAATGGTGATCTGAGCAGAGCAGTGTTACGTCCTAACCCGGCATTTGTGCCGAAGGTTATTAAGAGTTCATATAGGTCACAGACCGTGGAGCTGTGGGCTTTTTCTCCTCCTCCTCATAGAGAGAGGAGTGAGGAAAAGCTCCATCGCCTGTGCCCGGTACGCGCTTTGGCGTGTTACGTCGAGCGCACAGCAGCGATTAGGTCATCGCCTCAGTTGTATGTGTGTCACGGTGCGGCTGCACTAGGTAGACCACTTTCAAAACAGCGGTTGTCTCACTGGCTTTGTGAAGGCATTGAGACAGCTTATGAGGCAGCGGGGCGGCAATTGCCTCAGGGTATCAGAGCTCACTCCACTCGTGGAGTAGCGGCTTCTACTGCCCTTTTCAGAGGAACAGGGGTAGAGGATATCTGTAGAGCAGCATCATGGTCGACGCCGTCTCCATTTATCAGTTTCTATCTCTTAGATATGTCTTCTAACTCTCTGGCTCGATCTGTACTCAGCGTGGCTGAAGGGAGATCTTGAGCAAGAAAGAGAAGAGAAGCAGGACTGTGGACACAGGTTTCCATCAGGTCCGCTTTGGTTAGGAAGACGTGTTTTTGACAGATGTGTTTTCTAACTCTTTGGCTCGGTCTGTACTCAGCATAGCTGAAGGGAGATTTTGAGCTAGGAAGAGAGAAAAAAAGCAGGACTATGGACAAGGTTTCCATCAGGTCCGCTTTGGATAAGAAAACATATTTTGTGGCATGACTCCTGACTGACAGGTTCAGTACAGTAGAGGCATGCGTTGATTGACAGAATGTGAGGTCATCTATCTGCTTGTTCAGTTTAGTATGACTCATGTTTTGTTCCTGCCCACTAATCTTTGGGATTCCATTGAGTGAGTGAGGCGGTCTACCGCGTTCACAATGTAGAGTGACACTTTGTGTCATTCCATTAGTGGTCGGTAGTGTTTTCACAGGATATTGAGGCACATCTATCTGCTAGTACAGAGTAGTATGGCTTCTATTCTGGTGATCTGCCCACTAGTCATTGGCGTTGCCATTGGACTAGGTGGGGCGGGTCTTTAACCGATGACGCGGTATATTGTGACGCCCGTATGGGTTTTTAGTTGCAGTACTGCGGGACTTGGTCGCAGCCATTGCTAGGCCTGACCTTTTCGTTTCGATGGGAAGTGTTGGGCTCGGCAGGGGGTACATTTTGGAGCGCTACGCTCCGCCTTAAACCAATAGGAGCAGAGCTCCCCTATGGGGCGGAGCTCCACGATATAGAACGATTAGTTACCGGAGTGTAACTCCAGTTCTATGAGTGGAGCGGAGCCCCATAGGACTTAAGGCCCTGCCGACCCTCTCTAGTCTCGCTGAAGAAAAATATCTCGGGAGGCTGATTGAGGGGAGGTATCCCCTCTTATAGGGACACCTGTACTCCTATTGGCTGCAGGTGTGTGCATAATTTTGTCTCAGGCTGATGCTGCATTAGGGCAGAGGGTAAACCAATAGGAGCAGAGCTCCCCTATGGGGCTCCGCTCCACTCATAGAACTGGAGTTACACTCCGGTAACTAATCGTTCTTCTTTTGTTATTATCTGCACTTTTATTGTAAATAAGAATAGAATATGTTTCTAAACAATAGTTTTGGTCCTATAAAATGGGGGGACTAGCCCATGTACAAAAAGTGCTGTAATTTCTACACGGTTCACCCGATATGGATGAAAATTGTATCATATCATATCATATCCAAAGTGCTGAATCACTGTCCAAAGTCACTGTCCCAATACTTTTGGAGCTCACTGTAATAGCTGGTATTGTTAAATGACCAAGTACTTACGTGGCACTCTGGCAAGCTTTGATCACTGGCAGCATCCTCAGAAGTTCCTTGTCTCCTCTCTTCTTTACTTCCAACCCAAGCATGTCTATCGGCCCAGACGCCAATGCCATTAAAATAGCGACCAGGTCAGACCAATGTGCACGTGAGTATTTGGCATCTGGGGGGATTCCCGTCTTGAGAAAGCGCACGCCATCAGTTTCTAGAGAGCTGTCACCCAGTTCCATCAGGCAGTTCAGCAGGTTGACTGTCCTCGGTGAAGCGGGATTCTCCATGACCATCTTCTGGATATATTCTACCATTTCCGTCAGTGTCTTCAACGAGTTGTAGCCGGCCTCTGCGATTGACTGGATGAAGCTCTGCGAGATGCCGAGGAGGAAACGGAGGAAGAGGTCCAGCTTTCCGTTTTTGCTCTGCAAGGCCATGTCCACTGCATTCCTCAGGTTTTCATCTTGGCTGTTGCAGGATTGAAGAAACCACATTGCAGCAAAGAAGTCCTGAATGGTAGTATGCCCAAAGTAGTAGATCTTCTTTTGATTGTGCCCAATATCCTCCCTGAAGATTTGTATGCTTCCTTTTGCAAACTCGGACCCCTCTTGAGAGTCAATGTCGCACTCTCGTAGGTCTTCCCTGTAGAAAACTGTATTGCCTTTCACCAACTGCTTAAAGGCTAGTTCCCCAAATTTAATAGCCATCTTCTGTGTATTATGGTCTCGTGTTTGAAACAGGGCGAGTAGTTCAGTGTACATTGGAGTCAGAGCTCCAGGGTCACATTCTTTATTGGATAGCCATGTCTGTCTCCCAAGGAGTGACGCACAAATCGAACAGATAATAGGTATCTGGCACAAGACGTAGAGGCTTTTTGAGTACTTCAAGTAGTCGATAATTGCATTGGCCTGGTCCTTGTCATTGATTGCTCTCCTGAAGAACTCCTCTTTCTGGGAGTCTGTGAAGCCTTCGATTTCTGTCACTTCGTTGATGTACTGAAGAGGGATGCGACTGACTGCTTCAGGTCTGGAGGTAATCCATACGTGAGCGGCAGAGGGAAGAAGATTACCATTAATGAGGTTTGTCAGCAGTGCCGGCACGGAGGAAGCCTCTGTGACATCGGTCACCATCAGGCTGTTCTTGAAGTCGAGAGGTCGTCGGAATTCATCCAGCCCATCAAGAAAGAACCCAACTCTTATGTTCTCCAAGTTGGATATTCCAGGTTCTTTCAATTCTGGGAAAAACTTGTGAAGAAGTTCAATCAGACTCAGTCTCTCCTCCAGCAAATTCAGCTCCCGGAAAGGAAGAGGAAATATGAGAGGACATTCCTGGTTTCCTTTTCCCTCTGCCCAGTTAAGAATAATCATCCGCACCTGGCTAGTTTTGCCAATACCAGAGACGCCCTTTGTCAGCGCTATTCTGACTCGCTCTTTGCCTAGTTCAGAATCAAAGTATAAGCCTAGGGGTGACCATGTCCCTTGGTGTCTCTTCCTGTAGCCTGGCTCAATTTGAATGTACTCATGTTGGTTCACCTCTCCACTTTCACCGGGTGGATACTGGAGATCACAATGTATATAAAATGGATGCTCAGTTTCCCCCCCTGGCGGACTTTGATACTTTTTCTTCAGGATGGCTTTGAGTTTGTTGCTGAGTTTTACCACATTGGAGGCAGAGACTTTCCTGTTAAATTGTAAAAATAAATAAAAAAGAATGTAGTTTCTATATAGAGCAGACATACCTGTGAAGGGTTTTAACCATATAGTTTGTTAACTATATACAGTGGGGGAAATAAGTATTTAGTCAGCCACCAATTGTGCAAGTTCTCCCACTTAAAAAGATGAGAGAGGCCTGTAATTTTCATCATAGGTACACGTCAACTATGACAGACAAAATCAGGAAAAAAAATCCAGAAAATTCCATTGTAGGATTTTTAATGAATTTATTTGCAAATTATGGTGGAAAATAAGTATTTGGTCAATAACAAAAGTTGCTCAATACTTTGTTATATACCCTTTGTTGGCAATGACACAGATCAAACATTTTCTGTAAGTCTTCACAAGGTTTTCACACACTGTTGCTGGTATTTTGGCCTATTCTTCCATGCAGATCTCCTCTAGAGCAGTGATGTTTTGGAGCTGTCGCTGGGCAACACGGACTTTCAACTCCCTCCAAAGATTTTCTATGGGGTTGAGATCTGGAGACTGGCTAGGCCACTCCAGGACCTTGAAATGCTTCTTACGAAGCCACTCCTTCGTTGCCCGGGCGGTGTGTTTGGGATCATTGTCATGCTGAAAGACCCAGCCACGTTTCATCTTCAATGCCCTTGCTGATGGAAGGAGGTTTTCACTCAAAATCTCACAATACATGGCCCCATTCATTCTTTCCTTTACACGGATCAGTCGTCCTGGTCCATTTGCAGAAAAACAGCCCCAAAGCATGATGTTTCCACCCCCATGCTTCACAGTAGGTATGGTGTTCTTTGGATGAAACTCAGCAATTGTAAAGTGGTTATCCCACTGGCTATAGGGTGAATGCACCAATTTGTGAGTCGCTCTGGCTAAGAGCGTCTGCTAAATGACGTTAATGTGCCCTTGAGCAAGGCACTTAACCCTAATTGCTCCTGTAAGTCGCTCTGGATAAGAGCGTCTGCTAAATGACTAAAATGTAAATGTAAAATGTTTGTCCTCCAAACACGACGAGTTGAGTTTTTACCAAAAAGTTATATTTTGGTTTCATCTGACCATTTGACATTCTTCCAATCCTCTTCTGGATCATCCAAATGCACTCTAGCAAACTTCAGACAGGCCTGGACATGTACTGGCTTAAGCAGGGGGACACGTCTGGCACTGCAGGATTTGAGTCCCTGGCGGCGTAGTGTGTTACTGATGGTAGGCTTTGTTACTTTGGTCCCAGCTCTCTGCATGTCATTCACTAGGTCCCCCCGTGTGGTTCTGGGATTTTTGCTCACCGTTCTTGTGATCATTTTGACCCCACGTGGTGAGATCTTGCGTGGAGCCCCAGATCAAGGGAGATTATCAGTGGTCTTGTATGTCTTCCATTTCCTAATAATTGCTCCCACAGTTGATTTCTTCAAACCAAGCTGCTTACCTATTGCAGATTCAGTCTTCCCAGCCTGGTGCAGGTCTACAATTTTGTTTCTGGTGTCCTTTGACAGCTCTTTGGTCTTGGCCATAGTGGAGTTTGGAGTGTGACTGTTTGAGGTTGTGGACAGGTGTATTTTATACTGATAACAAGTTCAAACAGGTGCCATTAATACAGGTAACGAGTGGAGGACAGAGGAGCCTCTTAAAGAAGAAGTTACAGGTCTGTGAGAGCCAGAAATCTTGCTTGTTTGTAGGTGACCAAATACTTATTTTCCACCATAATTTGCAAATAAATTCATGAAAAATCCTACAATGTGATTTTCTGGATTTTTTTTTCTCAATTTGTCTGTCATAGTTGACGTGTACCTATGATGAAAATGACAGGCCTCTCTCATATTTTTAAGTGGGAGAACTTGCACAATTGGTGGCTGACTAAATACTTTTTTTCCCCACTGTAGGTCTATACTTAACATGTATTTTGGTTGGTCCATTGTGATTTACAATTGTATATGCATTCCATGGGATGTAGGGAGGCAGAGACTCCCCTCCTCTACATCACTATAAATACTGTTGTGAACCTTTGAGTTGTGGACGAGTAAACTTCTTCCCGGCAGGTATTAAATATCCTAAATTACATTTACATTACATTTACATTTTAGTCATTTAGCAGACGCTCTTATCCAGAGCGACTTACATATTTTTATTTATTTTATACTGGCCCCCTGTGGGAATCGAACCCAATACCCTGGCGTTGCAAACACCATGCTCTATCAACTGAGCTACATCCCTGCCGGCCATTCCCTCCCCTACCCTGGACGACGCTGGGCCAATTGTGCGCCGCCCATGAGTCTCCCGGTCGCGGCCGGCTGCGACAGAGCCTGGATTCGAACCAGGATCTAGTGGCACAGTTTTGCACTGCGATGCAGTGCCTTAGACCACTGCGCCACTCAGGAGCTATTGAATTCAAGTCTGACGTTTTGTTCTCAACTATCTACATACCATCAATTCTTAGAACCTTACAGATGGTAGACAAAAAAACGAGTGCTTATATGAACATAAAATATGCCTAATGTGTATTCTAAATTACACATATTTTCCATACACATTTTGATCTTGTCCACTGTTCAAATTACTGTGGTGAATGTAATTGTCTTACCTTGGTTCAGTCAGATATTTTTCTCTCCCAGGTCGAAACATTTTCCTCGATTCAGGAGAGGTGGATTTCCTATGACCAACGTTTGTTTCCCTCAAAGGCGGAGGAAGTATCTGTGAAGAGGGCAGTAAGGCAGGTTACCGGAGGACCTATCCATTTATCCCCCCCCTTTTTTTTTTTAAATATACGGTCGCTTAGGATCAGACCAAAAACAGACTGCAAACAAAAACAGAGAGCTCTAGCTAACGGTACACGAATGCAGTGTAATCCCTGGCCTTCAACACTAGCAATGGATTATGTGGGGGGGGAATCATCTGAAATTATTTGTACATGCAAAAATACATCCGACTGCATGTTCTAAACACTGAACTCGCTTCCGCGTCTTCTTTACATCCGTTCCTTGGTGCTGGGCTAGCCCACGTCTAGACATAAACGAACTAGTTAAAATACGGCATGCATTCATGACACTGCAACTTTATCAACTCTAATTTAATAGCAAACGCATAATGCAATTCCATAGTTACTTACTTGATTGATTGTCTCACGTTATTCTAGTCCATCACTGCGTCTCTTCTTTTTCAGTGGGGTTTATCGGTTGTTGGCATCCAACGTTGTGGTGCATTACCGCCACCTACCGCACTGGAGTGTGGGCCAGAGACATGGATAAACTAAATCCTACCTGCCAACCCAGTTTCTCTTAAAGAAGACAACGAATATGTGATACTATATCTAATGACGTTCTTCTCAATATACTCTTTAAACTAATTTCCTGTATCCTCTCCTCCCTCATACTTAATCTCATCATCTCTCTTTCCCTCTGATACTGCCCACCCTGTAGCAATACATGCTCCACAGTCTCTATTTCCTGACAATAATCACATTTTCCTGATGGATGCTTTCCTATCATGCTTAGTGTCTTATTCAACTGGCTGTGTCCTACCCTTAATCTTGTAAATATAGCCTCCTCCCTTCCTGCCGTCCTCCCCTCTCCGACTTTCATCTGTACTTGAAATAAATGCAATATTATTTATATTCCACTGCTCCTGCCATCTCTGCACCATCACTGTATATATATTTTTGCCTCTGCCTTGCTAATTGACACTTCAACATCAACATCCCCACTACTAAATGCTTGTTTAGCCTGTACATCTACTGCCTCGTTCCCCTCCACCCCCACATGGGCTTCAACCAGGATCTCAGCGATCACTGCCTTATTGCCTGCGTCCGTAACGGGTCCGCGGTCAAACGACCACCCCTCATCACTGTCAAACGCTCCCTAAGACACTTTAGCGAGCAGGCCATCCTAATTGACCTGGCCCAGGTATCCTGGATGGATATAGATCTCATTCCGTCAGTAGAGGATGCCTGGTTGTTCTTTAAAAGTAATTTCCTCTCAATCTTAAATAAACATGCACCATTCAAAAAATACAGAACTAAGAACAGATATAGCCCCTGGTTCTCCTCAGACTTGACTGCCCTTGACCAGCACAAAAACATCCTGTGGCGTACTGCATTAGCATTAAATAGCCCCCGCAATATGCAACTTTTCAGGGAAGTCAGGAACCAATATACACAAGCAGTTAGGAAAGCAAAGGCTAGCTTTTTCAAACAGAAATTTGTATCCTGTAGCACTAACTCCAAAAAGTTTTGGGACACTGTAAAGTCCATGGAGAATAAGAGCACCTCCTCCCAGCTGCCCACTGCACTGAGGCTAGGAAACACTATCACCACCGATAAATCTACAATAATCGAGAATTTCAAGAAGCATTTTGCTACGGCTGGCCATGCTTTCCACCTGGATATCACTACCCTGGCCACCAGCTCTGCACCCTCCGCTGCAACTTGCCCATGCACCCCTCCTCCAAATGAGCTTCAATGCCATACAACACTCCTTCAGTAGCCTCCAACTGCTCTTAAACACTAGTAAAACGAAATGCATGCTCTTCAATCGAACGCTGCTGGCACCCGCCCACCCGACTAAAATCACTACTCTTGACGGGTCTGACCTAGAGTATGTGGACAACTACAAATACCTAGGTGTCTGGTTAGACTGTAAACTCTCCTTCCAGACTCACGTTAAGAATCTCCAATCCAAAGTTAAATCTAGAATCGGCTTCCTATTTCACAACAAAGCCTCCTTCACTCATGCTGCCAAACATGCCCTCGTAAAACTGACTATCCTACCGATCCTTGACTTCGGCGATGTCATTTACAAAATAGCCTCCAACACTCTACTCAGCAAATTGGATGTAGTCTATCACAGTGCCATCCGTTTTGTCACCAAAGCCCCATGTACTACCCACCACTGTGACCTGTACGCTCTTGTTGGCTGGTGCTCACTACATATTTGTTGCCAAACCCACTGGCTCCAGGCCATCTATAAATCACTGCTAGGCAAATCCCCGCCTTATCTTAGCTCATT